TACATACATATATACCATATATATATATATACATATACATATATATATATATATATATATATATATATAAATGAGATATATCTATCAATAACAGTATTGTACATCAATTCATCCTTTCTGTACCTATACTACTACATAAAGCGGCCGTGCGGTTACTGGAAGATGGTTCCATTCCCATAGCACACTTACAAATATACTACTATATATATTCATACATCTCCATTTTCTTATTTCTACGATTGAGATACATTACATCCACAATGCAACTTTAATGCATCCTAACGACATTACTCTACTCACAGCCGCTGTGCGGTTACTGGAAGACGGGTTCATACCCAAAGCCTTCGAAGAGGGGGGTATCATTGTGAACCCTAAAAAGGAAAAGGCCGGCAAATTCGGGACGTTTACTGACATAAGCAGTCATTGTGAGGAACGGTCACCGCCCCCCACTATGGTAGTGCAAGAGCTGATTTCACGGCTAATTTTGGAGACCAATCCCGGTCCTGATTCTGGTGGTTCTTCACCCGGTTCTGAAAATAACACCTCTGATGGTGTGGCCAGCCCAGACCCAGACCCAAGCACAAGCCTGGCAGGAGACGAGGTCACTGGCACGAACGAAGTTACACTCACGGAGGAAGCCACGAGTAGCCTTAAGCGCATGTTTGACAGGTACTCACAGGCGAAGGTTTATATGTCCCCCGAGGATGTAGGGGAATGGTTAGTTACTATCAACGGCGTGGTCGGTCGAGGGAGTGAGTTCAGGGCCGCAGTGGCCTGTATGTCTGGCGGTGGGCGCAGTGGGGATGGGTCTAACACGAGTGCTAATCTGTATGAGAGCAACGACCCTGGTTTAAAAATAGATACGGTGGAGGAGGGGAGTATGAGTGGTGGGGTAGACGGTGAGGGGAGTGCGGTAGCGGACTTGGGCACGCCCGCTCCCGCGGCGTTGCCTAGCAACGGCAGATTGGCGTGGGAGGATTTTGAAGGAATTTACAAGGATGAGATCAAAGCAGGTACGTTGTGGTACCTTTCTCTCCACAGAGATGTCCGTTAGTATACATGTATGCATAAATACATATATATATCGATGCACTACGTGTGTGTATGTTTTGTAAGTGTATACGTATACGGCAACTAAAAGTGAATCGGACATAGCTTCAGCATAGTTCAGCCAGGCCACATGATGCTGATGCTCTTAGGAATACCAGTTCGTGTTTACAAGTTGAAGGAAAGTTAATGCTAGCTTGTGACGTGCCGATATGAGATTGTGTTCTTATTTGAGAGCTTGAACGAAAGGTAGTTTGTGCATGTAAGCTTTACTCAGGGCGTTTTCCAACGGGTGGTTTGGTGGCTCCTTTGAATGTAAAGTTATACTATATGCATATGTTATATATATATATATATATATATATGTGTGTGTGTGTGT